GTATGTATTCATCCATTTTCTTTTTTATGATTGACTTATTTATTTGAAAGGCAAAGTTAGAGACACACAGAGGGAGACATATCTTGCATTGAATGATTGACACCCCAGATGGCTGCAATGGCCAAAGCTGGGCTGCACTGAAGCCCTGAGTTTCTTCCACATCTCCCATGTGGATGCAGGGCCCCAAGGACATTGGGACATCTTCCATTGCTTTTCCAGGCCATAACAGAGAGCTGGATTGGAAGAGGAGCAGCCAGGACTAGAACCAGCTCCCAGAGGAAATGCCAGCATGGCAGGCAGCTGCTTTACCTGCTATGCCATAGCGCCAGCCCTACTTTCATCCATTTTTATAGTGTTCATTCTAAAGCTTCAACAGAAGAAGAATGCACAGCAGCTTCATTAAGGCATACTGAGACTTGATCACCCCTCACCCTGACTGTTGACGAGCAACTTGATATGTTATCCCTCTTAGTATTTTTTGTTTGTTTGTTTTACTTAATACTTTTGGTTGAATACTGTAATCAATACACAATTCTTCTTAAGTGCTGAAACTTAACTGAAAAGTGATTGCTGTTAAATGTAAGAGTGGGAATAAGAGAGGGAAGAGATGTGCAATTCAGGACATGCTCAAGCTGACTTACCTCAAACGGTAGAGTTAGAAACATACCAGGGGATTCCAATTCAGTCCCATCGAGGTGGCATGTACCAATGCCATCTCACTAGTCCCAGTGATCAATTTCTGTTCACAATTGATCGTAATGATAGGACTAAGAACCAAAGGGATCCCATAAACAAGAATAGTGTCTGCAAATACTAGCTGATAGAAGAAAAAAGGGAGAGAATGATCCAACATGGGAAGTGAGATACACAGCAGACCCATAGAATGGCAGATGTCCTAAACAGCACTCTGGCCTCATAATCAGCCCTTAAGGCATGCAGATCTGGCTGAAAAGCCCATGAGGCTATTTCAGGCATGGAAAGCCAAGACACTCTGGGGAAAAAAAAAAACCTAAATGAAAGATCGAGTGAGATCCCAGTGGAAAGAATGGGTCATCAAAGAAGGGGGTACCTTTCTCTGAAGGGAGGAGAGAACTTCCACTTTGACCATGGCCTTGTCTAAATATGATCAGAGTTGGTGAACTCAGGGGGCTTCCATAGCCTTGGCAGCTCATGACAAGAGCCTAGGGTGATTACTGAGGCCATAAACAAGAGTGTCAATTTGTTAAGTCAACAACAGGAGTCACTGTGCACTTACTCCTCATGTAGGATCTTTGTCCTTAGTGTACTGTACATTGAGATTGAATGCTATAACTAGTACTCAAACAGTATTTTTCACTTTATGTTTCTGTGTGGGAGCAAACTTTTGAAATCTTTACTTAATGTATGCTAAACTGATCTTCTGTATATAAAGAGAATCGAAAATGAATCTTGATGTGAATGGAAGGGGAGAGGGAGTGGGAAAGGGGAGGGTTGTGGGTTGGAGGGACGTTATGGGGGGGAAGCCATTGTAATCTATAAGCTGTACTTTGGAAATTTATATTCATTAAATAAAAGTTTTTAAAAAAATTTCCAGACTGTAAATACTCTTTAAAAAACAAGATTTACTTACTTGAAAGGCAGAGTTACAGATAGGCAGAGCCAGGGTTAGTGGGCTTTTATCCACTGGCTCACTTCCCAGGTGGCCACAACAGCTGGAGCAGTGCCATTTCGGAGTCAGGAGCTTTTTCTGGGTTTCCTATGTGGGTGCAGGGGTCCTTGGGACCCTCTTATACTCTTTTCCCAGGCCATAGCATAGAGCTTCTTCGGAAGTGGAGCAGCCAGGACTCGAACAGGCACCCATATGGGATGGCAGCCCTGTAGGTAGTGGCTTTACCTGCTCTGCCACAGTGCTGCCCTGTCAGTATTTTTTTTTCTGTTTCCAGTCTCCTAGAATGAGCAGGAAAGTATCCCTTTTACATGTTTCAACGTTTGGGGGAAAGTTTTCAAAGACTGGTGCCATGCTTTGGATTTTGCCCATGTGTGTCCCCACAACGTGGATGTGTTAGAATCTTGGTTCCTAGAGTTAGGATGTTAAAAGTCCAGCTGTACCTTAAATAATGGGATCCTATGGGAGGTCATGGGGTCATTGGGGCCCTGCCCTTGGAGGGATCTCTCTAAATGAGTGACTTGTTCCCTGGAGTCCAGTTACAATGAAAGCACAGGACCAGCTCCCAGGTCTCTGTGGCTTCCTTCTCACCAGGTGGTCTCTGCCTTTTGCTTGAACTCCTACCACTGTGATGAACTGCTACCACCCTGCATTAGCTCTTCCCCTGAGGCGAGCTGATACTGGTGTCAGGCCCTTGAACCTCCACCCATGAATTAAATAATCCTGAATTTTTATAAATCATTCATCCTTAGGTATTTTGTTATCAATGCTGGAAAACATCCCTTTAAGCATAACAATGGTATAAATCCTTTTTTAAAGATTTTATTTATTTGACAAGTAGGATTACAGTGAGAGAGAGAGAGAAAGGTCTTCCTTCTGTTGGTTCACTCTCCAAGTGGCCACAATGGCCAGAGCTGTAGTGATCAGGAGCCTGGAGCCTCCTCCTGGTCTCTCCTGTGGCTGCAGGGGCCCAAGCACCTGGGCCATGCTCTACTGCTTTCCAAGGCCATAGCAGAGAGCTGCACTGGAAGAGGAGCAACTGTGACTAGAACCAGTGCCCACATGGAATGCTGGCGCTGCAGGAGTAACCTAGTGCACAGCACTGGCCCCGGTATAAATCATTTACACTCTTGATAGGAACAGTGAATTGACCTGGTTATGGATTTTCTTTTTGGTAAGTTTTGGATGACTAAGTGCATCTCCTTTGTAGTTACATGTCTATTCTGATTTTCTGTTGTTGTAACAGTTTTCTTGAGGTGTGTATACATATTTAATGCACACATATATTACAGGAGGCACAGTAACCACAATCACTTTGTCCATTTATTGTCCTCTTTCAACCTCTCATTATGTTTTGTCTCCTGAAGTTTGAAATTTGGTATAAGCTGAAGGTACTATGTGTGTGATTTGAATTGAACCCTTGGGTTTGCCCAGTAGTTGTCCTAGGGTTAACTTATGCATTAGTTACTTGTCAAGAAGGATGTTCTAGATTTTATTTACAATACAGTACACATGCATGTACAGATAAAATATTTTTGTCATGTGGTGACATGCATACCAACATGTGGGGAGAACACCTTTGTTTGTTAGCTTGTGAAATAAGACCATATTGTCCCCGACATGGTATGCTTCAGTGATGCATGCAATGAAGCACTAAGTAGAGCTGCACCAAATATAAAGAGAAATATAAATATAAAGAGAAAACATAGTGTTTCTGTTTGGAACTGGGTTATTTTCTGTAGCCAATGATCCCCTTTGGATCCACTTTGTGACGTAGGTCAGGATTTCATTCTTCTTGTGGTTGAGTAATGCACAAGCATGTATATATGTGGAGTTTTCTTTATCCAGTCATCATTGATGGACATCCAAGTTCATTCCATAGCTTAGCTATGGTGGGTTGAGCTGCCATCAACATTTTCATATGCTGATTTGATTTCATATGCTGATTTAATTTCCTTTGGCTAGATTCCCAGGAGCAGCATTGCTAGGTCAGTTGTTGGATATATTTGTAGTTTTCTGAGGAATCTCAGTAGTGCCATCCCCAATGCTTCTAGCTGTTTACATCCCACCAAGAGAATATTAGGGTACCTGGTTTTTCACATTATAGCAGCACTAGAAATTTATGAATTTTAATTTTTAGAGTATAGCACCTCATTGTGAATTTAGTGTGCATTTCATGCTGGCTCAAGATTATAAAATTATTTTCATGTTTATGTTTGTGATTTGTGAATATCCTCTGCCCTTTTCTTCACTCGATTGCTTGGGTCACTGAATTTCTTGAGTTCCTTATTTTATATTAATGCTTTCTAAGATTCATAGATTGCAACTATTTTTCCTATTCTGTAGGTGCTCGTTCGCTTTAATTTTTTGTGCTGCCGTGCAAAAGGTTCTGACCTTGATGTAATTCTCTTAGTATCTTTTTTATTTTGTTCCCCAGGATTCTAGAGTTTTTCCATGAAGTACTTGCCTTGGACACTTGCATGCAGCACTTCTCCTATGTTTTCCCCTAGCAGTTTGATGGCCAGGTTTTAATTGTAGGTCCTTGATCCACTGTGAGTTGGTTTTTGTAAAGGCTGTAAGGTAGGGGCCTTCTTTATACTTCTTCATGTGGAAATAGAATTTTCTTACATTATTTGTTAAAGGAACTCTGCTTTTTCCAAGGAACAACTTCTGCTTGTTTGTCAAAGATTAGTTGGTTTCAGATGCATGGATTGACCTGAGGTGTGCATTGTGTTCCATTCCTCAATAGCCCTGTGTGAATGCCAGTAGCAGGCCATTTTGCTAACAGTACTGTACAGCACATCTGGAAATCTGGTATTGTGCAGCTTTGTTTCCACGGTGTAAGATGACTTTGGCTATCTGTGATCGTTCATGTTTCTGTATGATTTTCATAATTGCTTTTTCTACTTCTGTGAAAAAAAATTGCTGGTATTTTGACTTGGTATCACATTGAATCTGTAAGTTGCTTTGGGCAGTGTGGACATTTTTATGATATTAATGCAACTCCATGAACTTATGGTATCCCATAGATCTGGACCACTGCTCAGGCTTGCTGATTTTTTCTTCTTACCCCTTGTTTCTGATCTGATTGAAATATTTCAAACACCTGCTTTCTAGGTCAGATATTCTATCTTCAGTCAAACAAAAGACTGGTGAAAGTTTGTACTGTACCTTTATTTTGACAGATTGAAAACTTCATCTACAATATTGCTGTTTATCACTTTCTGTAATTACTCATCTATGTCACGTACTGATTCTCTGTGTCATTTACCTGCATTGCTCAGTAACCTTAAAACCTTACTTTGAATTCTTTTTTCAGGACATTCTATCTCCCCTAATTCATCGTGATTTCATGTTATTTAATGACCAATTGAACACTTAGTCTCCTTATGCCACACGAATTTGAAAATGTGATCATTCGTTTTTCACTACTGATTAGTAACAAAGGACTAATGGTGGCATAGCCGTTGCCCACCAACATCTGGACACACAGGCGCACTGGGTCACTCTTCCACCACACCCCTGAGAAGGAAGCCACCATGCAGTCCATCAAGTACAGGAGCACAAAGACACCCATGAGCAGCAGGATGGTCTGGGTGGCCCTGTGCTCTGGGGAGGCTCTTGGAGAGAGGCTGGTGCTGTGAAGGTGCTGGGACCTCCTCTTGTACCTGCACAGGAGAGTCACCATGTACCCACTTGAGACGGCCATGAGCCCTAGCAGGGAGACATCCCTAAAGATCCCCAAGATGTGAAATGTGAGCCTAGGTAGGTATCTCTGGGGCCTAAGAGAGCAGGATTTAGTGACAAACATAAGACTGTGGGACGTACAATTGGTGGTGGCAACAGTGGAGAGTAAGAAATGAGCACTAATGGACAAATTGAAGACCCACAGGAAGAGAAACCCACCGTGGTTGTGATGTGAGGCTGTGCGCTTGAACTTTGCCAAACAGGAGCTCCTGGGGCTGAGGGTGATGGCCTGGAGGATGCTCAGCAGGCAGGTGGTGCCCAGGGAGAGGCCCCGCATCACCTGGTATGAGTAGATGACAACTTTACATGTGATGTTGTCCCATAACTCCTGAGACTCAAAAAGGTCTGCAGCTATGACCCCCACAGTGATCAGCATCACCAGGTGGATGAGGGCCAGGTGCCCAATGGCCAGGTCAGTGGGCCTGGGCCTGTGCTTGAGAAAGAACCAGAGGATGTGGAAGAGCAGATGGAAGGCATTGGCTGTGATCCCAATGCTGACTTCAGAGTAAAAGCCATTTCTTACAGCAATCAAACTTAGAAGTAGATTGTTTTTACTCATCTTGTTGGGGGAAGAAAGAGCATTTAGTATATGTCTGAAGAAAAATTTTAAAATGACTTATTGCAAATATTATGAACTGAATTGGTCTCCTCCACAACTCCTACCTTCAGGACGATGTCTCGATCAACCCCGTTGCACCATTTTTCACCTGTGAGTACTCTCCTGGAAGCTGCTGTTTCTAGTTACATACTTGTAAATTATAATGGATAATAAATAAATTCCATTGCAGGTTTCACTCAGGACCTAGAGAATAAAATTGCCATTATTATAAATTTGTTCTAGATTTTTGTTATTTTTAGCTTTTCAGGGGTGGGGAAATGATTTATTTCCCTTGGGATTTGCAAAATGCTGATGAATTCCATTAGTTTTGATGAATTCACATGGGAATTTTAAGCAAGAAGAAATTATGCCCCCATATGCAGGGGTCCAGGATATATCAATGTGTATGACTCCTTATACCACCGTTAAGTTTGTTTCATCTGAAAGAGTTAGAGAGCCTCCACTGCTGGATCAGTTTCCAAATGGCCTCAATGGCTGGAGCTAAGCCAAGAGCTTCTTCCAGCTCTTCCACTTGAGTGCAGGAGCCCAAGGACTTGGACCATCCTCCACTGGTTTCCAAGACACATTAGCAGAGAGGCAAATCAGAAGAGGAGCAGCCAGGACTCTAACCGGTGGCCATATGGGAGGCCGGGGCTTTAACCCACTGTGCTACAGCATCAGCCCGAGATATTCTTAATACATAAAAGACCCCATGCTGGTTAGCCAGGAAGTCTGAGACTCCATTATTTGTAACTATAGATAAGTGTCACTTAGAGCTGCTGTGTGTGCGAGGGTATTGGGTAGGCGTGTGAACAGGTGTAGAGCCTGGGGGACAGTGGTCTCTGCAGAAACTGCAGCCACTACTGTCACTGTGAGGTTCTCCTCCTGAGCTCACCTGGAGAGAGTGCCGTCCTCTCCTAATGTGCCAGTTCCTTCCCTGCCTGGAGGAGCAGGGGGAAGTGAGCACCAGAGTAGCAGGTGCTGAACACCCTCTGTTCCACGGTCCCTTCCCTCTCCAACCCAGGCATGCAGAAGCCACAATGACTATGTTCACAGTCTAAGTGGACAGATGATTCCTTTCTACAGGAATGATGGTACACCTCTTCACCAAGAAGGTGGTTCTCCATGGGGGCCAAGTTTTCCTGTCTGCCCCACAGTTGGAAGTGCTGAAGAACTAAGTGGTACGACCTACAGGTACGATGCTTCACCTGTGTGATACAGTTCTTTACTATAATTCAAACTTTATAAATATGTGGCATTTAATATTGTAACAATAATTCCAGCAACACACTTTCACAGATTTATCATTCAAAAAAGTCAAGAGTGTCAGGCTGAATTTCATCCATAGAAAATTGGAGTATTATGGTTCTATAATATGAGTAGCTAAGAAATTGAATTTTTTAAGCCCCATTACTGTGTAGCATTTAAGAATACAGTGACTAGGGGCTGGTGCTGTGTCAGAGAAAGTTAAAGCCCCAGCCTGTAGCGCTGGCATCCCATACGGGTGCTGGTTGGAGTCCCTGCATCTCCACTTCTGATCAAGCTTTCTGCTGTGGCCCAGGAAAGCAGTACAAGGTGGCTCAAAAACTTGGGCTGCTTTAGCGGCATGGCAGACCTAGAACAAACTCCTGGCTCCTGTCTGAGCTCCGGGAGAAAATGGGAAAATATTTGTCACATCATCCTCCACTTATCACTGCAAATCATTAAGTACACAACCCTGAACTTTCTTCTTTCTTCTACTTAAAATGATATACACCTATTTACTGTGGTTCCATTTTACCTAATTAAAAAATATATACTAAGTGTTATAAAATAGTAACATTTAATAGATATAAAGTAACATACCAGCACTTTAAAAGGCTGAGGTAAAAATTAAAATTCTCTTTTTTTCTTATGTTATTTGAAATACATGAGATCTTCAAAAATGTAATTGAAAGATGCTCACTTTATAAAAAGCTACACACTCCATGTGTATGAAACATCTTTAATTTTTTTTCCTTAGAAGCCACAGTATGAAAAAACTATGCACAGATTTCAAGATATTTTGTGTCAAAATGAACTAACCTTTTAACTCAGTTTTTCTCATGAACTTTTTGTATTTACTTTGTGCAGGCTTTGCTTTCTCAGATTTTAAAATACAATTGACACTTAGTAATGCAAGTGCATGATATAAAACTGATCAAATAGCATGTCTCATCATAGTAAGTTGTGAAATGGCACTGCATAGATGCAGTTTCTCAGGGGGTCATGCAAGAAAGGTAGGATGTATGGTGCCATGAACTGGTATCATATCAGAAATTTCTTAAAAACCACTGGAAAAGTCTTACCTTTTACAATAGAGCAAATCCTCCAGAAGGAGCAGAAATTCTGCCTCCTTTCACACAATGGTCATTAAGGAAATGGACCCAGTCAGAACCATGCACGGGTGCCCACTCACAGTGGCTCCCGAGAATGGCCAGGGGCTGAGAGCTGAATCCACCCTCCCAGCGGTCTCCACACTGTGCTGAGCACCCACCACTGTTACCAGGGGAACACACAAGCCAAATATCGACATTTTATATTTCTATTCACATACTATGAGGAAGGGAATAGAAAGCTAATGTGTTAGCTCTTTCTGGCTGATATTTTATTAGAAAAAGTATTCTGCAAGCAATGGTCGTAGTGAGTGCTCCCCAGCCATGCTCCTCACACACACTCCTGACAAGCACTGCACAGACTAGGAGATCATAAGACAGCAGGAGGAGCCAGGAGACCCTCTCAGATACAGCTCCAAGGAGTGACAGTGTGAGGTGGCACCTGACTCTGCTGATGGACCAAGCCCCCAGGTCACCTTCTCCACACTGGAGAAAGCAGACAGCCCTCAGAGTCTGAATGAAATGATAGAGATCACAGGGGTTACAATTTGGAAGTTCTTAAAGAGATCTCATCCAGACAGGTGGAATCAGGAAGGGCTGAGTGGGAAGGTTAGGAGAAAGAGCACAGACTAAGAAGTGTCTGAGAGAAATCAGCATTTCCTTGAGCACTGACCTCCAGGAAGTCTTAGATCTGATGCTGCAGGCTGAGTTCAGCCAGGAGCAAATGGACACCGTGAAGACTCCTCCCACCACCTGATCAAGACAGCACTCACTTCAGACAGCTGTGTGCTGCACGGACCCAACTCACAGCCAGTCCTGTGTTACATGGCACCATCAAGTGGGCCAGAGATCATGAAGAACAGTGCAGTCAGGAGGGTAGTGTAGGGGTAACAGGCAGAAAACCCTCAGCAGATCTCAGTACAAGTGTGTGGCTTTTAAAAATTAATTATTTAAAAGCCCAAAGTATACAGAAAGAGACTGATCTTCCATTTGTTTTTGCAGTCCCTTGATGGCCAAAATGGCTGGGGCTGACCGGGCTGACTGAAGCTATGAGTTTCTTTCATGTCTCCCACTTGGGTGGCAGGAGCCCAAACACTTGGGCAATCTTCCACTGCTTGTCCCGTTTCATTAGCAGGGAGCTAGATCAGAAATGGAGTAGCCTGGATTTGAACCAGCATCCATAAGGGATGCCAGTGTTGCAGGCAGTGGGTTAACCTCATACGCCACAGTGCTAGTCCAGTGTACAGTCTTCTGAATGGACAGATACAGGGTGAAAAAAAGGAAGACATGTAGGCCATGTCTGTTCAGTTGTGTGCAGCATGAGCATAATCAAGCTGTTAGGAATGACACAACGTGTACATGCTAGGATTTATGTCAGCACATGGTGATGTGCCTAGATGGTACAAGAGCACCCTTTGGTTTGTTAGTTCCACATACGTCAACTTGACTGTACTGGCCAACAAATATATCAGTTCAGAAGGTGACATTGATAATACACAATGGATGCATATGAAGAGTACAAGTGTCCTGCACCACATGTTCTGTGTTGTATGGTTCTAGCTGGAGAATTACGTTGAGAACGTTGCAGAGGCAGCTGACAGAGCACACAAACTGATGTTAGTGGCATGCACATAGATGTCGTGCAATACATGAATTCCAGCAGAGTGAACGAGAAGCTTGAGAAACATTTTGGCAAATGAATGGCAGCTGTTTCTCAAAAAACTGGTGAGAATTTTATATTGGCAACGCAGGGTGAAGAGATTATACAATAAAGCTCAGGCTGCCTGCTTACACTTGGCTATTGATGGTACCAATATTTTTATGTGTAGTCAGAAAAATTTGAAGTATTTTAGTTACTAGTAGTAACTTACTGGTAGTAATTGTAATTAATAACTTAAGTTATTAGTAATAATAAGTATTACTATTATCATTCCAAAGCAAGGGCCTTATCATAGATACAAAGCCAGATGTGTCACAGATAATGGAAGACAGTGCTGAGTCAGCTTCCCTGAGCAACAGCACAGAGCAGCCCAGCGTCCTGTGAAACAGATGTCACTGTCACTCACCACATCACCATCATGGCATCGTACTAGCAAGAAATACTATTCCAGCTTCATCTGTGCCGATGAATGCATGACAGCACTAGGCCTGTACAACATGTCTTGCATCATCAATGTATTCGGTTTGGGGGAAAAAGCATAAAATTCAAGCATACAAATTAAGCTATGTGAAATTTGTTCATTGAGAGAGAGATTTTTTAACAAAGAAATCTGGATCCACATACCTGTCCTGATTGTCCTTTGGCCAATTGGAGACAGGGAGGAGAGCGCTCCATCACTGTCTTTTCATTTACCTTATTTCAGTGTAGTTTCAGCCTCTTTTCCCCAGAATCTAGTTTGGAGTATTCAAGGCTGAGCTGACTCCGTGAACTTGAAATCTGTCCAAGTGAAGGCTGAAGAAGAAAGATCTTTAAATACTGGTTGACATTGTGTAGGAAGGAGAGGGTTAACTGCTCATGGCACTCTTTTGAACAAAGATTCCATTTCCTTCTAAAGGGTTACATTGTTTCTTAAAAAAGAAACTATCAAAGTCATTTTAAAATCATAG